TCCCTCTCATACATATTCCCTCATTTTTAACAAGTGAGTATTTAGATAACTAAGAGATAATACACTATTTTTTAAAGTGAGATAATTATCGCGGGGCCTGTTTGTGACTTTTGACGGTTCCAAGTGACGTTTGTATTCTCGAAAATTGTGGCGTCTACTGAAGACAGCTTCTCCACGATATATGCGTCATCTAATTACTTTGAATTATCTTCGGCTCGACTAGGGCTGCAAACGAGCCGAGCCGAGTCGAGCATTGGTCTTATCGAGCGGATTGAATTTTTTTTTTTTTTGAGGTGCTCGAGCTCGAGCTCGTCGAGCTCGATTTTTGGTGCTCGAGCTCGACTAGATCAAAACATACAATATATAGGCTCGACTCGAATTCATAATGCTCGAGTTCGGCTCGAGTTCGGCTTTCAAGAAATTTTGTAAAATAACCATTAATTACATATATATACAAGGATATTTTAGTAATTTCACATATCTCGATCCGCTCGCGAGCCGCTCGACAATGCAATATATGGGCTCGAGCTCGACTCAAGTTCGTGCTCGAGCCGCTCGAGCTCGACTCGAGATCGGTCAGACTCGAACTCGAGTCGAGCTTTGACTCGAGCGCTCGCGAGCGGCTCGCGAGTTGCTCGACTCGTTTGCAACCCTAGGCTCGACAACGGGCGAACTCGACATCTGGGGACCTGATCGGCTTTCGAGGGATCAATCTTGAGAACCTGTTTGTATATTTATTTATCATGTATTTTCGGCTCCTTGGTTATTGTGCTGTTGTTTTTTATTTATTTATTATATATTTATTTAATCGGAGCCAAATTGGATATCAACAACATGTTTAGTAAATGAGTTTGCATTTTACCTTTATGAATGAAATTGCAAGTTGTCATGTTATTTAGATTGAAAAGAAGATAGTATGCGTCGTTCACATAGAAAATTATGTAATCGGTTCTTTGTATAATATAAATATGGTTCATAACCGAGATAGAAATGGACAAACCTATCTGTATGGATATAGTATAATTGGAATTAGTTTATCTTAACTAATAAATTATACTAGCACGCTTTGTGTGTATTGAATTGGACAACGAAGAATAATTTTATTTTATACTGACCTAGTGAATAAACTAGACCTTATGATATCACTCATATTGTAAATCCAGATAATAATAACGGGCACATGTGTATTTAGTAATTGTCTGTTTAATTCACCAAAGGGTGCGACTTATTCGTTAAGTGAATAGACTCGGTGAGTTGAAAAATATGATTAATTACATGGTGCGCTGTTGATTATAATCGGGCACTGTGTCCTGGTGGGCCTGGGTGATGATATATTCGAAATAAGATCAAAAGAATTATTATTGGTAAACCCTACCGATAGATTTTATTTTATATAATAATGAAGTTGAGTGGTACTAATTTTTGAAAACAAAGATGTTAATTAATTAAAGGGAGACTTCTTTAAAAATCCCCAAGTCCCTTTTCAAATTCCTGTTCAGTCCCT